ATGTGAATCCGTTTGTACCGATTAAGAACCGTACTGTTGTTGGGCGCTTCTAACAAGATTGAATGCATGCCTCTCACTTAGCTGGCCAGATAACTCATTTCGACCACAAAGTCGAGTAGCTCAACTCAGGCCAGGCCCCGTTCTGTAAAAGTGCGCACTCTAGATGGTAGTAAGGATGTGTGGGGAGACAGACGTGAGCCCAAGGGTAGGCCAGGCCTGAACGTCCTGGTAGCTAGTTGTCCTTGATTGTGCGGCGCTGATCGAACCTATGAATTGGACCTGAGTTGTACCAAAGGAGACCTAAGACTGTCTTGGCGTAGGTATGTCTAGGTTTATGTTAGGAATAAATTCTCTGCTGGTTAAAATCTATTCGAATCGTCGTCTCTCCTAGACAGTGAGAAACTTGGCTAGTACCAACATTGTAGTAACTGTGTCATGGAATATGATGGTTCAGATGAAAATGGAATTATTATACCGGCTATGGTTACTAGTGTATGATACTAAATGATATACCACATGTTTGGTACAGGTTAGTTGCTAATCTAGAGATGAATAGCTATAATTAACTTGATGACCGAATTATAAAATGTATAGCTGAATTAGTGGTTTTTTATGCAAAAATATTTTCAAGCTAGCTCCACTTATAAAGCCTTGCATAATCCTTGGAGTCACTTTATTTTTTGTTTATGATGGGTAAGTCTACCTGAGTATCTTCCGTACTCAGGGTTTTATTCCCACTTGTTGCAGATAATATGATGTATCATGGCTATTACAAGAACTGCTTCTGTCCCGCCATGGATGAGGAGTAAGCCCTGGGCAGGCATCTCTTATTAATCCATCTCTTATGCTTTTGTGGAAGTGTGATCGTGAGCTGGCACTATATTTAAACAATGTTACAGATGTTGGTTTTAAACTTTTAATTTGCTTTCGCTACTATCTTACCTGAACGTGGTTTGTAATAACTTTAATTCGTACTCTGATGGATGAACTATATTTGTAAACTTTATGTAACGTGTGACATGTATGTTGAATCATGTACGATCTTGGTTGTACGTTGATGGTTAATCGAGACCCTTCGTGGACCTCGATGGACTACTGGGTTTATATGGGCTCAAGTATGATAGTACGACCGATTGTGGGTTGCCATTGTACTTGTGCTCTTATAAATTAGTCAGTTCTGCTACACATCCAGTATAGCCTTTTGTCTTCTCTCTGGACAAGCAACCTCGACCTAGCAGGTTGGTGATTGTAGCGATAAGTACTACCTTGATCATGACATGTTCCTTTTTTGTACTCGTCCCAAATATCCTCCACACCTTTTTCAAACATCTCCAATAGTTTATCGATTACTGGTTTTAGAAACACATCGATGTCATTCCTAGGTTGTTTTGGCCCTTAGATCAGTAGTGGCATCTGGAGGTATGACTACTTCATATAGAGCCAAGGTAGAAGGTTGTATATACAGAGCGTCACTGGCCACGTGCTATGATTGCTTCTAACCTGGTCGAAAGGATTTATCCCATCTATGCTCAAACCAAACCAAAGGTGCCTTACCTCTCCACCGATGTTCTTATAGAACATATTATTGACTGTCCTCTAGTCCTTCCCACCGGTGGAGTGCCTCATCATTGTATCTTTCTTACATCCTTCGCCATGCCAGCACAACAGTTTGGCTGACTTTGCACATGCAAACATGTAATGCACCCGGAGAGCTATAGGGAAATACCAAATGACCTTCACGGTACCCTCATCTAACAGCCCTTCTTTGTACCGTGGAGCTTCACACTTGGGTCACACATCCAAGTCTTTGTATTCGTCTCCACAATACAATATGCAATCATTGGAACATGCATGAATTTTTTTAACCTCGAGGCCGATGGGGCAGATCATTTGCTTGGCCAGGTATGTCATTTCTGGCAACTCATTTTTTCTAGGAGCATTTTTCTTATTATACCTAACAACTGATCGAAACCTTTATCGCTCATTCCGTTTGTCGATTTGAACTCTAACAGCATGATGTCGGCTTCCAATTTGCTCATTAGACAATTCTTATATAATGGTGTTTTGACATCTTGTCTCATTTTCTCTAGCTTTCTCAGCTGTCTTTCACTAAGACATCCGGTCTCTACATTATGTAGCAGCTGAGAAATGCCATCGTTATCCTCGATTTCATCAGCTAGCGTGTTCCTAAACATATCATTAACTGTGGCCATAGGTTCCATGTTGACACCGGGTTTCTCGACAGCATCGTGGATGGCTACGTCAAGCATGATCACATCATCATCGTTTTCCTATGGAACATTCACACCAACCTCACCATGCATAGCTCATATCGTATAGTTTGGCATGACCCCCCTGATAATCAAGTGCATTCGTACAAACTCAATTTGAACTCATTTCCTTTTATTCATGCAATCTTTGCATGGGCAGAAGACAGGGTTCCCATTTCTAGTTTGGGCTTTGGCATTGGTGATAAACTAGCTAACGCCATGCATGTACCGCTTGTCCGTTCAGGACAAATGCATTCAGTCTCGATCTATCTCTGCACAAAAAATATTGAGACAGTAATTATAGAGAAATTAATAAAAAGTCGAGCTTCATGAACAACAATTGTAGCTCGCAAGTATCATTTATTCTACACTTATTTAATTTAGTCACCCTATTTTTGGAAAACATTATTGTACACTAATTATTGGAAAATTGAAATTGGTAGCCCCAGCCATATAAATTGAAAATCGTAGCCCCATAAAAAACAATTATTGCACAATAATGAAGAATAATTATTCTACTCGATGCCACATAAAAATGGAGACACTATTTTTTTTTAAAACACTAAAATTAGAGACATGACCATGAACAACAATGTAGCTCCAAACAATATGTTGATAGGTGACACATGGATTAATTTGCTCACCAAAATTGTAAAAGAATCTACTCTACTCTTATCAAGAACTAATTATAGCATCACATACTAACAATGATCTTGACCACCTTGTAGTTAGCTAGGATTTTAAATGTGTTCAAAGATACCAACCTTTTGGATGATGGATTCACCACAATTTGCTTGAAAGCCTTGCACAAAGTCCAATTGAAAAATTGCTCTCTAGAATGAAGAAAGAACTAGAATGAGAATCAAGCAATGTAGCCATCAAAACAACGCTAATTAAGCTACAAAATCAAAGGAGTGGATGCTTGTTACTAACCTTAAAGCAAAAAGATGAAGCCATTCTTCCAAATCCAAGAGCTAGCTTCACGATGAAGAGCAGCCGCAACAATGAAGGGAGCGGCCCAAACACGCGCCTCTGTGCTCGGGATGGAAGAGATGAGGAATGAGAAGACGGCGCCAGTTTTTTGTACTGCTATTTTATCATCGTCGATTCTTGACTCGAACCGACAGTGATAGCACCAAATCACTGTCGGCTCTTGGTTAAAACCGGCAGTGATAAGTGGCTGCCAACTCACTGCCGGTGCAAGCCACAAACCGGCAGTGATGTGGTCATTTACTGTCGGTTTTAGCCCAACCCTAATCATTTTCTCATTTTCAAGCTCAGAACCGGCAGTGAAAGTACATCACTGCTGGTTCTCACAAATCCGACAGTGATGAGGCCGGTAGTGATGTCCAAATTTGTAGTAGTGAGACGTAGAAAGCGGACGCATGCAGATGCGGTCCCCACCTGCATGCACATTAGCAGGCACGAGGCGCACAACTGCATGCGTAGGCGCACTAGTATGCATGGGCGGGTGTGCGGGCGCAACAGTTGCATGCGGGACGTGCAGGGGTAGAGTTGCATGCGGGGCAGGCTTAGCAGCATCTGTGGTAGGTGGGACGGGTGTGGGCGTTCGGACTGGAGCTAGCGTCCAGACGTTCGAGCGCTAGCTTTGACGTTTTCAATAGTGCGGCATTGGTTTCCTAAAAAAAAAATAGCGGTATCAGCTTTACATGTTTTGGTTGATGATGAATAAAATAGCATTCTTAATATATAGTTGTCTCAGGATTTCAACAGGTTAGTCAATACATTAATTAAATAGTTGCATGGTGTCTGTGATATTAGTTAAATTAATGTAGGCGACTTGTAACATTAGTTAAATTAAGTGCCAGCATACAAGAAAATGTTAAACAAAAAATATGTACATAATAGAGTCGCATGCGTAAAACAAATTATATAACACATGACATAGGAGTCACAACGCACAGCGAGGATGCAAAAAAAAAAAAAGATGTGCCATAACAAATGAGGATGAAATTGTGAGCTTTCAATGTAGATTTTGTTGGAGTTGATATCAACTGGGTTTCATGGGACGAAATTCATCTTCTCTTTTCTATTAAATTTCTTTGCTATCTTATCACTAATACAACCTTATATAATAAATAAATACAAACAAATAAGAAACTACTACCTTCATTTTTATAAGACACAACTTGATACTTGATATGACACGATCTTTCAAATTACACTTTGATCATTTATTTATATTATATCATTTACGTTATAAACTTAGAATAATTGGATAACATACATTTGATTATACAAATCTAACCATATCATATTTGTATATTATATAATAATTAAAAATTGTTACTCAAAGATTTTAACGTTTATAAATTTTGACTCGGCTGTGCCGTGACAAGGGACATGGGTCCATGTCTCCACGAGTCGTGACATGAATGAGCAGGAACTATGCCGTGGTGGCGTGTGGGGCCCACCGGCCAGCGGAAGCCTTCAACGACTGCCTCCCACGAAAGAGGAGACGACGAATGGGCAGCAGAGAAGAGGCCAGAGCAGAGGAGAGACGGCAACCGACTCCGCCCCAGGTCAGGGGCAGCGGTCCGCGGCAGGGCCGAATTCCAGGACGAAGCCAGCCCAGCCGCGCGCTGTCTCCTTCCTCAGTCTTCCCTACCCCTCCTATAAATACGCGCCACCGCGTAAACAGCGAAGAAAAAGTAAAAGGGTAGAAAAGGAGGCAGAGCCGAGGGAGGGAAGGGGTCCAGGCCGGCGACGATGGAGAGGGCAGGCGGCGGGGGCGGCCGCGGGGACGAGATGATGATGACCTCGGGCGCGACGGGCCGGATCGTGCCGGTGTTCCGCTCCGTGCTGTCGCGGCGCGCGCTGCTCCGCGTCGCCGTGGCGCTGCACTCGCTCTTCCTCTGGCTGCTGCTCCTCGCCCGCGGCCTCCGCCTGCGCCGGGCGGCGTCCGGCGCCGATGCGTCGGCGTTGGAGGCGGGGGCGGAGGGCGGGTCCTGGAACGCGCGGCGGCGGCGGCGGCTGCAGGCCGCGGAGGAGGAGGACGTCCGCAGCCGCAGAGCGCTCGCGGAGGAGGTGCCCATGGAGGAGGACCGGGCCACCAGGTGGGCCACGTTCCTCGTCACCGGGGCCAGGAGGAACGCGCTCTTCTGTCGCCTCTGGGCGCCGGCCGCCGACGAGATGAGGTGAGCGCGCCGCTGGCGTCTGCGATTAATTGTAGCTTGGCTTCCTTGGTGGTTCCGGCGGTGCGAAGTGTCCGCTGCTCTTTTTTTTAAAAAAACTAAAAAAAAATTGTTTGTTTGTTTCTGGAGATTTCGTTTTCACCGTAGACATTTCTGAATTGTATTTTGCTCTTCGTTGCTACTTTGTGGCTGTCATTTCACCATAACTGGCCACATTCGCGTAATTACTTTTGCACCATTTAAGTCGCGTGTTTTCCTTAAATTTTTTAAGTTCCTCTTGTCGAGAACTTCTTTTGGATTCTGGTTTGCGGGCGATGATCGCCGAGAAAGTCGAAACTTTCAATGGTTCTACTTTTGTTCAACATACCCCTTGGTTTTCGACCTTTGATGGCGACTGGTTATTGCGGGCCTCGACATTTTTGGTGCCGATCTGTTCGTGCAAATAATAGCAATGCGCGATGAACACCTGTTTAGTTTTTTTTTTTATATACCTGTTTACGGTTTTGATCACCCGAGAAGAGTGTTTTTACACGACACCAGATGTCATTAGCCAACCCAACCCTGTAGCGTTCTGCTGCGGTTAGTTATTTCCATCCTAGCCTCGCAAAAGTCAGAGCAAAGACGTGCCGTGCAATTCACGTCGAATACTCCCGCTTTGCACAGCGTCAGTGTACTCTTGCATTCATCTCACCGCCTTGGGCCGCGTTTAGTTCGGCCGAATTGGCGCCGGCCGAATCACTGTAATCAGTTACAGTGTCGTTACAGCGTCGTTTTGTTACAGTGTCGTTTTGTTTTTATTTGGTAATAATTGTCCAATCTTTGATTAATTAGGCTCAAAACGTTCGTCTCACAAAGTACAACCAAACTGTGCAATTAGTTTTTTATTTCGTCAACATTTAGTACTCCATACATGTACCGTAAATTTGATGTGACGGAGAATCTTCTTTTTACATAGTGCCAAAATTTGGAATCGGTAGGAACTAAACATGGCCTTGGATTGCAATTGCATTGAAGATCATCACCACGCGATCTTTGTCTTCATCATTGGTTCTGTTTCGGTCGGTTGCCATTGGGTTTCTGGTTGTGAGGTCAAATGGATTGGCTGTCACCCTTCAGGCTTCAGCACATGAGTTGCCATTTAAAAACCGAACTGTTTGACTATACCTGTCACTGATTCTTATTCCCAGCAGAGCATATGGGCTAAACTTGTGATGATGTTGAATGCAGATGATTTTTTTCTGTGAATAGTGAAAACAAACTTTCATAATTTACATAGATGGCCAACTAAAGTGCAATGGATTAGCATAAAGCAGTGCCCTGTCTGCAAGACTGCAACTTTTGTTCCATCATATCTCTCAATTGGCCATGAGGGAAAAAAATAGAATTTTTTTTAAGTGCTAGTGGCTCAGATGGCTTTTAAGATAAGGGGTAGAATTCTTCTCTGTTCTTAATACCCAGAAATCTGGGTGATGCTATCCTTTATCCGCATCTGACTAGTTGCGTGGTCTCTGTTCTCAATTTAATATCAGGGTAGTCATATGTCCACCAAACAAAAATTGAAAAAAGGTAGGAAACCAGCTTAGGTAATCCACCACTCCTAATGCTTCTGATTAAATGTAAGTTAGGCATTGGTTTACACCTTCTCAAAATGTGGTTATGTACAACTCTTTATCCTCTTTGTTGTACATTGGAAATATCGAGTATAATTTGGACCTTTGAATATGCATTTCTGTTCTAATTTAAATCTCTGCTTTGAGACTGTTACGCAATTGCTTCCCTGTGAAAAACTCACTGATTATTTTCCTCCTACTTCAGGGGCATTTTGGTCATTATACATGGGTTGAATGAGCACAGGTTAGGAAATTCTGTTATGTTCTCCTCCCACACATTATTTTTTTTCAGGAATGTCCAACAACTTGTTGATGTATTTCTATGCACTTGATCCTGCGTTTATAGTGGAAGGTACTTGCACTTTGCTGAGCAGCTGACAGCATGTGGTTTTGGAGTATACGCAATGGATTGGATAGGTAAGAGCACTGTTTCTGGTTTTCTGAACTTGCATATGTTTTCTGAAATATGTATATATAGTTTGGTGCAAGAATTGTGCTGCATTTAAAAAGGAAGAATGGAATGTTGATCTTTACCTAATTATTTCACCAAAAAGGGGGTTTGCCCCTCCTGTTTCCCTAGAAAAAGGATTCGCAGAACAATTTATCAACTTTTAGTTTTTCATTTTTATTCTGCGAAAGTGTTAATTATCTTGTGGATCATGTAATCAAACTAACAGTGTGTTAGTCATTCGGCATGGGTGATGTCAGTTCAATCAATTTACACCCAAATATTAGCTTTTAAAACCATGTTCAGTATACTTAATGTCGTTAGCTAAAGTCTGGATGCTTGTAAAGTGTAAATTATTCACACTTGCTAGTAAGGAAGTAAACCAAAATAACTTTATCCAGTCATTTTGCATCCTGTGTTTCCATGTGAACATGTCTGTTTAATGTTTTTTTTTCAATTCATCAAGAGGCTAACTCTAATTTCTTATTCATGACAGGGCATGGTGGAAGTGATGGCCTGCACGGCTATGTGCCTTCACTAGATTACGTTATCGAAGACATTGTGAGTTTATACTTCTGACGAGTGACGACTAGTTCTTCTTACCGTTTCCTATGTAATGCATGATTAACATTATTATCTGAAAACAGGAAGTGCTTCTTGACAAAATTATGATGGAGAATCCAGGGGTCCCTTGTTTCCTCCTCGGTCACTCCACTGGAGGGGCTGTAGTCCTGAAGGTATGCAATGTTGAGCTAGATAGTTTTGTCATTAGCCTATTTAGGCCAGATTTAGAACTGACCCTACTTCTCTGGGCCTGTGAACAATCGGATACCCTGACGGGGCAGAGAAGTGGTGCAAAACGTTAACAAAGTAGCCTGGTTGAAACTTGAGAAATGGTTTGGCTGCATGCCTGCATAAGCTCATTTTACATGCCTGATGCTATTGTCTTCATTGTACTCATCGCTGGCTTACAACTTTGCATTGCAGGCATCGCTGTACCCTCATATCAGAGAGAAACTGGAAGGCATCATTCTGACATCACCCGCGCTGCGTGTGAAGCCTGCACATCCTATTGTTGGGGTAACGCAACTACTCTTGTTTCCTGCTTATCATGAACTAGCGATGATCAAGTCTGTATGACATGGGCTTCTGTTGAACAAGTTGGCCATTGCCCCCAAAAGGAACAATTGAGCATATGCATCATCAAGTACAAAAAAAAAGTTGATTTAGGCTCATTCTCATTTCATTTCCATGAAGCCTTTTGCGAAACAGCGACCGCTGCAGTTTAGGCCGAACCTAATAACTGATGAGAGGCTTTCTCTGACCACGTTCACAATGCAGGCTGTGGCGCCGATCTTCTCTCTGGTGGCACCCAAGTTCCAGTTCAAAGGCGCCAACAAGAGGGGCATCCCGGTTTCCCGCGACCCTGCCGCACTGCTGGCCAAGTACTCGGACCCACTGGTGTACACGGGGCCGATCAGGGTGCGGACGGGGCACGAGATCCTGCGCATCTCCTCCTACCTGCTGCACAGCCTGAAGAAGGTGACCGTCCCGTTCATGGTGCTGCACGGCACCGCCGACCGGGTGACGGACCCGCTGGCTTCGCGGGAGCTCTACGGCGCGGCGGCGTCCAGGCACAAGGACCTGCGGCTGTACGACGGCTTCTTGCACGACCTGCTCTTCGAGCCCGAGCGCGACGAGGTCGGCGCCGAGATCATTGGCTGGATGGACGGGATGCTCCGGCTCCGGCGGCAGACTGGATGAATGGCCGGCCGCAAGGGGGCAAGGGCGAGGTGGGGGTTTGCAGCACGGTGGTTTCATGGACGCCGTGTTGTGTCTCGGACTCTCGGACTCTCGGTTCTTGGTGGTGTCTCTTCAAAGTGGTATATCTATATAGATTTGTGTACGGAGATGGATGCATTTGTGTTCTGTAACTACAGTACGTGTCTATTCTATCTAATAACAGCGGGAAGAGGAGTATGGATTGTTTGTTTTGGTGTCGTTTCTCGTCAGTTTTTGTGGTCACATTTGGGTTTATGATTATGGGCAGATGTGAACTATAACTTAGGCCGTCCCCAACGCACCAGTCTGTACAGTAGCACTACAGTGACACGTAGGTCGGATACCATCTGTAAGAGAGAGGTAAAGAGCCGCTTGCAGAGGAGCCCAAAGCCTCGTCAGAAAAAGCATCAACTTGGCTAAAAGCAATTTCTTGAAGGAGAAGAGGAGGATGAACCAGAAAGTAAATAGGCTGAGCTGTGTTTAGTTGTAAGCTTATGCAAAAGCAATTTCTTGAAAGCGACATTTGATGGGAGAGAGAGAGCGCAAAACGTAGGATCAGAAAGTAAATAAACAAACTGCGCATGTTATTTCTTTGGTATTAAAGTTTAATTAAAACTATTTTCCTGCATTCGCCTGTGAGAAAAAACTTATATTATCTACTTTTTTTCAAATTGAGGTAGAACTAAGCAGGGGGACTGAGACTAAGTTGAAGATGTCGGTCTGCATCGTAGAATTTACTGCCTCAGTTTATACGGATCTACATGGAGCACCTCTTTTCAGGTGAGGCCAACGATCGTCCTGCCTGTGTTGGCTTTTTGCTCTTACGGGTAGTTGAGGGACTCATGAGACCATCCCATCCAGAGTCGGAGTCACGGACAGTTAGGTGTTTGGTTCCGACTAATTGTAAAATTATTGCATAGCCCCAGACAAATTTACAATATAAATTTATTAAGTCTAATTAGTTTATGATTTGATAATATAGAGCTCTAGTAAATATGTGCTAATGATGAATTAATTAGGCTTAATAGATTCATCTCATGAATTAGTCATGGCTTCTACCATTCGTTTTATAATTAACTCATGTCTACTCCTTCTAATTAACTTCTGAATATTTGATGTAACAAGGACTACACTTTAGTCCTAGATCCCAATAGCGTTCCAAATTGATTGGAACAGCCAACGCTGCACGATCCGAAGTGGTATGGTTAGGTGGCCGTTGCACGATCCAGACTTCCAGAGGTACATCGACACATCCTCCATTCCCCAACAGCCGAGCAGGTCATTTCGCTTCGCAGTACCACCTTGTTAGCAGCAGCGCGAGGAAGCAGAGCAGAGGACGACGAACAGACGAATCTCGATTCAATTGGGAAGATGGTTCATTACCAATGACGGAGCCAAGATTTTTTTTTAGCTGGGGCGAACTTTATACACTTACATGCTAGGGCTGCAGGGACTAGCGGCGAGTTACCACCTTTGAGTCAATTCATCGACGCCGTGAAGCAGCAGGGCAGCAGGCAAGCATGGCAAGGCCCGCCCCACAATGACGGTAGACCGTCACCCCCTCCTCGTGGACCTCCTCCTCCTCCCTCCATCGCCGAGCTCTCTGCTCCTCGGCAAGCGCACCTCCAAGCGTCTGAGCTAAATTGGGGAGCACTGGCACTGGCGGCGCCGGCGGATAGGCGCCGCCGCCTGGCCATGGCGCGGCTTGTGGGATAGCGCATGCATAGATCTAGTGGATAAACCTATCCTAGAACTTTGAACTACTAGCGAGCGCCCGCCCATGTGGCGGCGACGTGCGTGTGGCTACCAGACGCGTGGCGGCGGCGGCGACACTGAGGAGCTTCGATGGGGATTGGGAATTGCATTACAATGTTCTCGTCTTTTCAGACGGGGAGAAAGGCGTGCGGCCCTCGATTGGGGAATTGAGAGCTAAATTGGGCCCTTCATCTTTCATGGGCTAATCAAACTACGACCAAACAAAGGCCCAATGTCTTAGCATTCAGCAGAGTCTTCTTCCTTCTTTTTGTCCTATTGTTGCCTCGTTCGTCGGCTCGTCTTTTAAGCGGATGGCGGCGCCTTTATTATTTCGGCATTGACTTATGCGTCTCGACGATCGGCGTACACATCAACCAGATCTTGGAAGAAGAAACTCAAGTCCGGGTCCGGTTACAACACCGTATTTTATTTCTATCATCTCCCGCATAATCAAATCTGAACCCCACCCGCCTTCTAGGACTTTTGTTCATTACAATGTTCATGTCTCTTCTCTTAGACTCAGCCGTGCACGTTCTCTCTCTCTCTCTCTTTTTGAGAAAGGGGCTAGATTTTATTATTATTATCAATTTGTGCATATTGAGCGTACACCTAGGTCTTACAAACAAGTCCCCTGGTCCAGACCTCTCATCACTACTAGCAAGTAAGATATCATCCACATACGTAACAAGGAAGATAAACTTCCCATTCTTAAACTTTGTATGATTTTACAATAACAAGCACTTTTCCTTCCATGAGGGACTCTATCTTCCATCCATCCGAAAAGGACCGGCGATAAATGCACCGACGCGCCGCGGAGAAAGAACGACTCCATCCAGCTTCAATCCGTGACAACGTCTCCTCTGAAGAAGACGCCCGAGTAATCGTTCTGAAACGCCGCATGAGACAGCACCTCCAGTGGAGACACATTAAATCCGTTGAACGCACATCGGGCATCACCGTGCTGAAACTGGAGGAGGATAAAACCGGCGCCCAAACCTCCATCGACAGAGGGAGAAGCCCGGAGAACCCAATATTGGGGAGTGCACACACATCCAGCTCGCTCGCTTGCTCACGCGTGCTGCCACTCTGGGCCGAATAAGCGCATGCTCTCGGTCTTGGGCCTGGGCTCCCGGCCCATTCTTCCATCTACTTTACCTGTGCCTCGGACTCCTTCAGCCGTGGTTGCCTGACGGTGAACACGTACGATGCTGACACACCTTGTGCCTCATCAAGCTCATCGAGTCTATTTCAACACGTGTCAAACGACGGTACGAAGTTTGATTCTAAACGTATTGTATCATAATAAGCTATATATTTCATTGGAACATAGGAGACGAATACATTTGCCAGTGAAAACCTATTGGCCATATACTCTCTCTGTCCCAAAAATAATATCATCTTTGCTTTTCTATGGGTCAATAAACTTACTGTCCCTGTCATAGAAAGAACACAATTCTCACACGTCAAGAAAAAATAGAAAAAAAAATAGTACATAACAAAAAAAAAAGCATATATACTTGCTCATTTTTTATCCAACAAATGCTACCTGTCTTTCTTCATTGTTAGGAAATAAACCAGGCTAGCCCAAGACTGCCTCCAACAAACCAAGATAGACTTGTTTGGTTGTCTACACTATCTAAGTGTGACTAGTTACTCGACTAATTTGTTTGGTTGGCTGGTTGGTTTGGCTTAAAGGATCACCTCTTCTCTGTGTGAGTTACCACCTTTGAGTCAATTCATCAGCATGTGGTGAGCACCACCTTCTGCAGCGCGCCATGGTCAACTCCCTGGCTGCCAAACGCCGCCACAAGGCCAAAGAAGCCTCGGACGAGCACAACCAGATTGAAGACCGCAGTCCGGTTTGAAGAGGTAGAAGACGTGGCCATCTCCCACGGTATCCAGACTCCATCAGCTTGACGCCGGCGCAATTCCCCCAAGTCGCGGCCCCGCCTTGGCACGCGCGGCCGCGCCACCTGAGGAAGTCGCCCTCCGCGGTGCAAACATGACGCGCTCCCAGGGACGAGGACGAGCCGCGCTCCCAAGCATGGTGGACGGGGACGAGCTCACGCAGGGAGGGCCGCCGGAGACGGCGCAGCCGAGGAGGAGCTCGCACAGGGAATCGCGCAGGGAAGCCGCGGCCGAGAGCAGAGAGTGCGCAGGCCGCGGACAACGCCGTGTTCGGGCAGGCGCCCAGGGGCAGGACCGCTGCCGTCAACGAGGCGCGCGTTCCGGGAGGAGGAGCATGGGAGGAAGACGAGCTTCCGACGCGCCGCTGGGTGACCCGCCGCCCCTTTTGTCCCCCATCCCATCCGCGCGAGGCCAAGGCCGTGCCCCTGCTGCGCGAGACGACCACCGCGCCGCGTGAGGTACGGCTGGGCGACCTTGCCGCCGCGAGCGAGGAGGCAGATCTGCTTGTGCTTCGCCGCGGCCACGGGGACGCTCGAGCATGGCGCCGGAATCGGGAGGACGGGAGGTGACGAGAACCGAGTCTTGCGCCTAGCCAAGCCTGGCCACGAGAAAACGAGATGGGCATCCGTTTCCAGCGAGCCAGGCCAAGGATAGGGAACCTAAACAACTCCGAGATGGCTTCTGGGGGCATGGTGTAAGGCAACCAAATAGGCCTATAAACGATGGTCTGTTCATATAGTGAGAACATAAATAATAACAACAATTGCATGCCTTAATTCCAACGTTGGTCAAAATTAAAATATACAATTGTTCTTATACACTAATTCTACGGATCGTGAAGAAAATCACTGGAAAACTTATGATTAAACCTTATATTTTGCTATTATCAACATTGGTCGAAAAATAAAATAATATTATTTCGACTAGAAATTAAATTCTCCCGTTGGTTCAATTTATCGTTACAAATGAAAAATAGGAATAAACCCAAAATTCCCAATCAGGAAAAGGAAAAATGAAACTCTGCTTTATTACATTTGACATCTATATAACACGTCTTTTTAGAATACCACCCATACCTACTCATAAACTAGAGCTGTATTCGTTTTAGAACAATATTGAGTGCTAGAATTGCATTCCTTTTTTAGCACGAATGGAGTATACAACACACTCACTCAGGCAGGAGTACTCCAAAGAATCTCATCGACGACACGTTTCAAGGCCGCAGCATCTGAGACGACGCCGGCGTGAGACGTGCCGGCAAGCTTGATAGACCTGTTGCCTCGGGTCACCGCCGATCACCGTGTCGAGCGCCAGTATGC